ATGTTAACCACATGCATGAATACAGGACTGCCTCCATTCTTGCCTTTGTGGAAACGTGGCTAAATAAGAACATCAGTGATGACACGCTGCAAATAGACGGATTCGGCACTCCCCTCAGACTAGACCGAGATACTGAGCACACTGGCAAACAACATGGCGGCGGTGTGTGTCTCTATGTAAACAAACGCTGGTGCTCCACAGTCGTCGTTCGAGAGGAGCTGTGCAACAACGACATAGAACTTCTTGCTGTCTCACTCCGCCCCTTTTATCTTCTGAGAGAATTCCCTCAACTCTTTTTTATTCTGGTTTATATTCAACCTATGGCAAATGCAACTACTGTACAGCCACAGAACACATCAAGAAAACAATCGACCGGCTGGAACTCATATCCCCTGACTCCCCCAAATTTATCCTTGGAGACTTTAATCACCGCTCACCTGAAAAGTCTCTAAAAGGTTTTCAGCAGTACATCACCTGCTCCACCCGTCAGGGGAAGACTTTGGACAAATGCTACGGATCTGTACCTGATGCATATAAAGCCTTTGCTCTTCCCCCACCTGGCACTGCTAATCACCACACTATCCTGCTAGCTCCAGCCTACACCCCTATCATAAGGAGAGCAGAGAAGGCTGTACAAACCATCAAGCAGTGGACCCACGACAGCATTGCAACCTTGCAAGGTTGTTTTGAATCCACAGACTGGGACAGCCTCCTCCTCCTCCTCCTGTAACATCAATGAACAAGTGGACACGGTGTCTTCTTACATCACCTTCGGTGTAGACAGCATCATTCCCATTAAGGAAGTAATAATCTATCCCAACAATAAACCTTGGATAACCAAAGAACTTAAAGGAATTCTAAATAAAAGGAAGAGAATATTCTTCACCGGCACAAATCTTGAGAAGAAGGAGGTTAACAAAGAGGTAAAAAGAGCCATAAAAAATGCCAAGCTGATGTACAAGAACAAGGTGGAGGAAAAATTTGGTCAAGGATGCCTCCGCTCAGCCTGGCAAGGAATTAAGAATATAGCCGCGGTGAACACTGCCCCCCCCCACCCACAGGACCATCCAGGTGGCAGGCAGCAGCCCAACATCCCTCCCCAATGACCTCAACTCCTTCTTCTCCAGGTTTGAGACAGACAACACCTCCTGCCTCAGTGTGGTCACCTCCTCCCTACTGCCTACTGGAACAGATCTCACCATCTCCATCGAGGAGGTTGTGAGAGCCCTCAAGAAGACCAAGGAGAACACAGCACCGGGCCCAGACAATATTAGTGGCCGTGTTCTACGTCATTGCGCAGAGCAGCTGGGGGGGGGTGTTTAAGCTCCTGTTTCAAAGATCAGTAGAGAGCTGCACAGTTCCCCAGCTATGGAAGCATTCCACAGTGGTCCCCATCCCCAAGAAGAGCTCAGTCAGGACTCTGAGTGACTTTAGGCCTGTGGCTCTGACCTCACTTGTGATGAAGACCATGGAGAGGGTCATAAAGAAGCACATTGTCAAGGTGACTAATGCTCTGATGGACCCTCTCCAGTTTGCATACCAGGCAGGTAGAGGGGTTGATGATGCAAAACTATTCACCATGGACACCATACACAGGCACCTTGAACATCCTAACACCTCAGCTAGACTTCTGTTTGCTGACTTTTCATCGGCATTCAATACTATGCAGCCACATATCCTTGCAGAGAAACTATCCTCCCGCTTCCACCTGGATGACCAGCTAGTTCTGTGGATCCTAGATTTTTTAACCAACAGAACACAGAGAGTGCTGGTTAACAACATCTTCTCCGACCTCTCCTTCTCCTCCACTGGATCTCCTCAAGGCTGTGTCCTCTCACCTCTACTCTTCATCCTCTACACAGATGATTACAGGTATTCCCAACCTGACTGTTATCTGATCAAGTATGCGGATGACACTGTTCTTCTGTCTCTCCTCTCTGGTCCTTGTCACCACCATAACGCAATGCTCCACAAGTTTGTGGAGTGGTGTGACCACGCCTCACTAGAGCTGAACGTGGAGAAGAAAAAAGAGATGTTGGTGACCTTTTCCAACAAGCAGAGGGAACTGGCAGCTGGAGACACCAGCATAATCCATGGGAAGACTGTGGAGCTTGTGGAGGAGTACAGATACCTGGGCACTATCTTTGATAGTATGCTCAGGTTTGCCTCCAACACTGAGGAGATTCTAAGCAGATGCCAGCAACGGCAGTATCTCCTGAGGAAACTCAGCAGCTTTGGAGTCAGCAAGAACATATTGAGGACATTCTACTACTCCTTCATTGAGAGCGTCATAACATTCTCAATAACCTGCTGGTTCCATGCCACCACTCTGCATGACTGAGCCCGCCTGCAGAGGACAATCAAGGTGTGCTCTAAAATAATTGGATCACCAATCAGAACTCTGTCCTCCTTCTGTGAGCTGCAAACACTGAGAACAGCACGCAGAATCCTACAGGACTCTTCACATGGGCTGTTCCCAGCATTTGAGTGGCTTCCTTCTGGGCGCCGAATCCACTGCCCGGACTGCAGGACTCAAAGGAGAAGAGCCACTTTTGTTCCAAGGGCTGTTCAAGTTTTGAACTCAAAGCCACTATTACCCTCTGCCTCTATGCACTAAACCCCATAAAGGCATAACACATTTCATTCCCCACTACCTATTGACCTCCCCATTTTGGCACCTTATGTTAATCTGTTAATTTAGTTACCTGCAACTGCAATTTTGCACCTTATGTATATATTGAGAACAATTTTATTACTTATTTCTTAATTTTTATTATTATTATTACTTTATTCATATTTTTTTGTTTTATTTATTTGTTCTATTTCTTTAATGTCTGGTTCTGTGTCTGTGCAACACTGCTCTACGTGCCTCAAATTGCCCCTCGGGGACAAATAAAGTTTTTTGACTTGATTTGATTTAAATTATGAACTAGGCTATACATATACATGTATTCATCTCCCAACAAATTGCAGGTTAAACCACATTATATGGAAGACGACTATATAAAAGTGACTTCATAAATTTTTTTACATGAATATATATACAACATGCAAACAGCCTTCTGTGGTTCGTCTCTATAAATACTCAACAAGATTTCTTGTACAGTATTAATAACACTGGAACATGTAGTTGGGGGTGAATTTATCATGCTACATTTTAGCTTTAGGGAATTATCAAGCAAAAATATTTTATTAATGCACCATTAAAAATTGATTCACGTTCATTAATACTCTGATGATGCTCCTCCATTTTGAATTTCATTTCCATAAAGGGGATAAATTACCTGAAATGAACACTGAGGCTCTCATCATGCAGAGATAATCAACAGTGGCAGGATCAAATTAATTTGTTACGATCACGTACCAGTCATTATAATACCTATGTATTCAAGACTGGTGTAAGTATATTACTTGATTATTTATAGCTGAATGATGTAATATGCTATTTCAGTACAGCATTCTACTCAATACCAGCACTGAGAAGGTCCGTGTTTTCCATTCGCAATATAAGTAATCCCAGGTGAGGCTGAGCAAAGAAAAGTAATCACAGGTCAGAAGACATAAATCTCAGATTATTATGGTGATTTGTTTTTACATAATGGATTTTAAATTTCATCTTTATACATCTGATTGGTCAGTAATTGCTGCTCACATATCCATCCACACATCCACGCTGAACACGTGTGGTACGGTTCCCTTTGAGAGACCATCGTTTCAGTTTAGAGGTGAATTAATGGCTCATGCCTTATGTCGAGGCATTTGAGTTAATTAGAAGAATCCATCTCCATCGAGGATAGACCATTCTGAGGAACAACAGAAATATGTATTCATTATGGTAGTTTACTATTGCAATAAACGGCTGTTTAGCTTGCAGCACAACACAACATAAACAGGCAGATATATGGGTGCACATAATTCATCCCTCATTCTCCTCCTTTTTAAAAGCTGAGGTTTATTATAACATCTGATTGAAAAACATATATGCAGTACCATTCAAAAGTTTGGACACACCCACACATAGAAAGGTTTATTTGTACTTTTCTCTACAATTTTTTATAATCATAGCTATCAACGCTATCAAATAACAAATATGGAATTATGCACTAACCAAAACAGTACTAAATAAAAAATTAATTTGTTGGGGGAGGGGTAACTCTGTGGATTGGGACACTGAAGGTTGCTGGTTCAAATCCCTGAGTTGGCAGAGTGTTGTCACCATTGGGCCCTTGAACAGGGCCCTTAACCCCAATTGCTCCAGGGACTGGTTGACCCCACTGTCTCCTCTGTGCCAGTTTCATGAGGTGACCTCCTGGGATGCTTTTCCACTTGTCATGAAGGAGGTCCTAAATATGTTTTGAGCACTCATTGGTCATTTTTCTTTCATTTTCTGGTCAAACTACTCCCAAACCATCTCTACTGCCTTTAGGTCAGGTGGCCAGGTCATGTGATGTGACAATAATCACACGCTTTTGACTGGTACCGTACATACATACAGTATATAACACAATATACACACTCATCAAAAAATATATATCAAACTTAGAAACAGTGTATACACATATATAAAAGAATATATGCATATATGTGCTTGTGTATATACATATAAACACACACACACACATTTATTCATTTGTTTTTTTAAACAATCTGTTGATACCCTTTATCAGGTTCAGTTCAATATTGGCTCCCTGGATGAAATGGTGAACCCCTCTGAAAATAATGTTATGTTAAAAAGACCACTGCAATGAACAAGCCTTTAGCAACATCTATTATTTTTGTTTATTGTCTTGAGTCATAGTACAGTACATGAATCAGGACACAAAGTGAGCAGAATGGGAAACTTCAATGGCAGACAATGGCTTTTCATGAAAGATGAAAATGAATATTTCAAGCTTTTATGTGTTTTTCATGAAATGGATCACTACCAATTTGTATTTATATATATATATATATATATATATATATATATATATATATATATATATATGTTTCTACATTGGAATATGATCTATAGTAGCAAGCAAGACTAATGCCTGACAATGCATTTCATTTTTTAAAACAAGAATTCCATACTTTGAAACATAAGCCATAACCACTGTGTAATATTTATCTCCCTCTCCCTCTATTCAAAATAAAATAGCTTTGATTTTGATCAACAGAAACACACTGGTTGGTGTTTGTTGCTTATATGTTATATGTTTTACATTTTCGCTTAGCAATGCATATAAGGCAGTTATACTATATGTCTCAATTCTTCTTAGGATTGTGCTACTGCAGATTTAACAAGGAACCTTCTGTATTTCTTTAGTATAATACTGCAACATTTCAAATGGGATGTGTTAAAAATGGGAGCCCTTCATCAACCCTGCATGAGACAACAGAAGGTCATTAGTCACTATACAGACCATAAAAGGCATCTAACAAAAACAATTTTGAAAAGTCTATCTGCCTGCTTCAACGCTGCAGTCAAGAAAAAACTGTAAATATCTATGAAAATTCCCTGCTGAAGTATCTCTTAGGGCTCCACCTTTTGGTATGTTGTCATATGATTCTGTTCTGCAACTTCATGGGGGTTTAAATGACAGCTCCAGCAGTTAATTCTGGTATCACCAGACGTGGAAAGACCTAAGGTCTGTAAAGTGACTAAACACAAGAAAAATCCTGGACAACTCCCTGAGATTACAAGGTCATCGCCACTGTCACATCCAAACACATGGCTAAGGAAACTGAGGACTGTCAAGAGAAAATGCTGTAAAACTGGCATAGTTGTTCTTGAACTTTCTGCTTCAGTTCTACTACAAATTGTTGTGGGCAAAATAAGGATACAAAAGAATGATCAGAACAGAACATTTTGCAAGACAAAATATAATATTCTTCTCCACAAGTCTTTCATGACAGACAGAATTCAACAGAATTTTGGGGATTAAGTAACTGAATGTTACACATTTTTTCAATTACTTTAAACAGTTCATAAATACACTCTTTAAAAACACTTTCCAAAAAACTACGGATGTTGAATAATTATTGCTAACCTGTTCTTCATGTTTCAAAGACCAAAAACATATACTGTCAAAGACATAATAATCATTCTAACACTAATAACAAGAATAGCAATGATAATAATGTCAACACACCTTTCTGCTAGATAAGACTGTCCGCATAAAGTTCCATCACTGTACTCCTGCAGTGGTGTATAAAGGACCCACTGCAAAGTCTCCAGCTAAGCCAGTGAGTCTGAGGGCTTGACATTCTCGCAATCTTGGCATCAGTGTCTGCTCTGTGTCAAAAGGTGAGATTTCACTGGAGGGGAAAAATAAAAACATCCAGCAACTTCCTATGCTGAAAATGAACACAAACGGCGAGGAGGAAAAGAAAAGGGACGAGACAGAGAGAGAGAGAGAAGCTGAGAAGCCAAGCCAACCAAAAGTCGTGTGACATCAATCCAAATCTGTGGTTCTTGCAAAGATTCACTGGATGCACAACTGATTCTTTAAGCTGGAAGAGAGAGAGAGAAAGAGAAGCATTACCTTGGATGACCCTTGACCAGATCAAAGACACTATTAAAGGAAGCTGTAATAGGGCGATATTGAGAATATGGACAGATTAACACCTCATATAAGAAAGTCTATTTTATGCAGCCAGATCCACCCGCAAGGGACCCAAACGCTGTGCATGGATGTGACTGACAGCTTGCTCTGTGCAGTTAGATACTCAATCCCGGTCTGCCCATGCAACTGCCCAATCAACCCAAAAAAAGACCATGCAGTGCTTGAGCTACTGGCCAGAATCTTTTTTCTGGTTCAGAGGTTAACTAAGCTGGTGCATTTGCTGGCACAAATCCATACTGGCTGAGAAGTTTATATCTGCCTTCACTTCATTAGGCAGTATTGGCAGGGATACTACGTGATGTTGGCTAAACAGGAAGACGCTCCAGAGAGCTTGTACTTCAGGGGTGGTGGTACATTTCAGACCGCCAAGCAGCGAGGTCACCTGTGGATTTGACCCCACTTCAATGAAAGTAGTAAACACACAAAATGAAGAAACGGAGTGGACTTCCCTCTTTGCTACAGGGGGTCTTTGTTGAATTTGAGTCTAGAAACCAATCAGCATTTGCAGTGTGAGGTCAACGCGCTGCTGTATCCATCTGCAATTACTAGTTTAACCTCCTGAGACCCAAGGAAAAAAGTGTCCTTCAATTTAGGTTATTTGTCTTTGGAGGAAAAAAGACATCATACAATTTAGATTTTTTCAAATAAATTTTTATTTTTAATTTCACAGCATGTCCTCTTTAGTGTACAACAGGAATAAATACATTTCCTTACATCAGTGAAAAGATAGATGCAAAAATAAAATGTCCACTACAATGGACATAAATGAATGGGTGGGGTCTCAGGAGGTTACGGGGGCTGGGGTTTGGGGATTTAGTGAGGAACTGAAACCCCATTTCAGAAAGCAACAGTCTCTCTCTTTTATGATACCTCTTCACACTTGAAAGACTTTAGATGCACACACTGGCAAACAAAGGACGCAGTATCAAACAAAGGGCATTCTCTCAGTAGAGCAGAGGATTAAACAACCCTGGCATTTAACTGAAATTATGTAGGGTCACTGTGACAACTGATATTCTTTGATGTCCCCCGTCTGACATATTGATGTATGCAAATTCAATTTAAAGAGTAATATTTAAATTTAACAAGATTAATTGACTTTACCAGACCTTGAGTGAAAAATGCAGATTACAGTGTATGACATATTAAGATCCATTTCTCCTGGGAACACCTGAAGCAACCTGGTCCTACCACTAATTCTCCCCAGTGTCAGTCCATTGAGATGGTATGACATTTTTTTTTTCAGCAGAAACACCCACCAAGTGTAAACTTGAGAATGGTTAGGACAATCTTAGACATAAAGTTGTGTCATCTTCTCAATTCAAAATAGCACATGAAAATTAATCCATAAATCAGCTACTCAAGAAGTTTTTCTTGGGGTAAATAATTCTGATTGATAACATATTATTTTTATAATGGTAATAGTAAGATTTTTGCATGTTGGTGGTATTGTTTCCCAGACGACAACAATAATAATAATATATATATATATTTTAATTACTTTATATTACTTTTCCTTCCTGCTATATAGTGTTCATCGTGTCAAATGGTGACTGTCTGTCTGTACAGTTGTAGCATAAGCAATTTCTCTATGGGATCAATAAAGGTTTTTTCTGTAATAGTGATAATATTCTTGTGTGAGGGTCCATATTTACTTACTTATAGTAAGTAAATAGTTTGTATAACAAAATATATATATATATATATAAAACCAAAAATATTCATATGTATACTGTATGTTGTATTTTGCACCTAAACTTAGTTGTTGATTGTTGGTGTTATTCAAATGGATATCTTTTTGTGATCTAATGTCTTCTAAAAGTGTTTTGTGTGGCTCTTGTTTCATGAATATCTTGTACATGTATGTTACTGGTCATTCATTGGAAGCCTAACAAGAGTTGCATCGCAGTTCCCTCTTAACAGCCATATGCTTGTGACACATTATCGGCTTTATTTGCCCATTACGTTGGATAAAAGAGTCTGCGAAATAAGCAAATGTAAATGACGGAATCTGCTAGCATGTTTTGCAAACTGCATATTCAAAGCCACAGAACTATACTTGTTTTATTTGATGACTGGGTTGCTTAATGATATTTAATAATTAAGCGTTCAACCTCATGGAATCATATGAAAACTAAAGAAAATGCTTGTAAACCTACCTAATGTAATTATAATTAGGTAATAGATAGCCTGTGCTTAAAAAATAGAGAGCGCTGCTTAGACAGAGCTCTTCTAGTGGAATCCAGACTGCTACAAACCCTTTGACCGCTGACAGTCTCTTTGAGATCCCTTGTTCACCTTAGTAACTGATACACGGGTTAGGGAAATTGAAGAAGTCCTTTCAGCCTCAGTTGATGTGCTCTGATTAACCATATGCTGAGAAGAATACTGACACAAACTCTCAACAGTTGGCTTTGGGAGAATCAGACAAGGGAGGTTTTATATGTCAAAGGCGCAGTGCTTTCACATTAACAGAGCCACACACTGTGACAATGCCAAGGTGGAGAAAGGAAAGAGATAAACACTGCAGCGTTTATGATAACAAACATTATTATCATACAATCGTATGATGTTTGTTATTAATGCATATTAAAGCTGTTAAGGTATGCCAGGATGTTATGTATACTTACATGCTGCTTCTGTTCTATGAATGAATTATAAATGCATTATGAAGGTGCACTGAATGTTCTATGAAATTATACATTATGAAGGTGCAGTTAATGTAAAGCGTTACCAAATAAAGTCCAGTGTTTTTAAGATGTAACACATATGAATACCGAATAAAACAAATAGCATGTGGAAATAGCAATAGTCATGTGATCATTTTGATGTTTTGGAATGCAGTAAGCAATAACTGTTAATAGATACTGTAAGCACATTGTTGGGGAGTAGATAACTACAATTAGTGAAGCTACTAACTTTATTTATATTAGTAGCGCAGCTACTTTTAAAACGCTGTAGTTTTTCCAGTAACTAATTATTATTATTTCATGTAGCATGTGGCAAGCCGGCACATTGTTAAAAATACCACAGGTCGTCCTATCAAACTATGCCATGACTGATCGGTCATTCCGAGGCCGTGGATATGCGGCCGCGACTGCGCCGCGTCTGGCAGCTCGCACAGTTTCCACCTCAACGGCCAGCAGCGCGAGTATGCCCGCGAGACGCTCATTCATTCATCTCATGCTCAGGCTGCTGTTCGCAGCGCTCACAATACACTGTACATTCGTATCCGTTTGTGTCTTAGCAGCTAAACTGGTGATATAGAGGTTATAACAATAATGAACTAAGAAAATGGTGGTAAAAAACACCCCAAATAATATGACTTAAAGATGATATAATTTTATTATACAGTATCATGGGCTTCGCCGCCATTAAATCTGAGGGGGACGTGCACATGTCCACCTCATATTTCATAATTATTCGCTTGGACCCCCCCACATTTAACATAAAATAGTTTTATGCCAGTGTGTCCCACCCACATTCAAAATGCTTCTGACTCCCCTGTACAGTATACTATATACATATGATCATTTTTGCGTATAAAATAAAGACCTGACAGATGGCGGTCATAAATTGTTTCTTGTTTTATAATGTCCTTCTAATTAATACTTCAATAACAATCTGTATTATTTTTTTTCTTTACAAATACAGGTATTTTCAGCTACCGGGTGTTTCTGACTGGTGTTTTTTGCTTGAATATTCTAGGGATGGATGGGTTGAAAAAAACAGCAAACAATTTTTTAGACACTTTCATTAAAATGCATAGGAGCACTTAATTGGTTCTTGAACAGTGTGGCATATTGAAGCCTTAGGCTCACCATACTTCCAAGTTGAAAGGTGACTTCCGTCACATTGGTTTCCGGCTAATGTGTGCGCTAGATCGCGAGCCTGTTGTCTGAAGTGTAAGCTGAGTTGTTAGTTACAATAAAGTTGTAAAACGTGTGCAACCATCTCGTTATTAAAGAACACCGCAGACAGATTCTGAAAATCTATCATTTTTTTTGTAACCCCTTCTAATTTTCGCACAGCAATTGTGAAGGACCCTTGGTTGTTACTTTATCGTGATGACATTACATTGTTAAAAAAATAGATTTTCATATTACAGTACTTTTATGTTTATCATGTTTCACAATTTTATAATTAATTTGATTTAAGAATATCCTGCAGTTCCGATGTAGTTAGATTCTTTTTCTCTGTAGCTTGTAGTGTTGCTATAGCTACTATATTATAACCAGAGGTGAACCCTCTATGAGTCACAGACACAGAGTAACTCATCTGGTTGGTTGAAACAAAATCTTGGTCTGGATTTGTACTCTCTGGACCTGAAATCTCCACCTCTGATTAAAATAGTAGCTTGGCTGTGGCTTAGCTACTTTTAATCATAAGTAGCTTGTAGCCTGAAAAGCTACCGTTTAAAAGTAGCTTCCCTCAATACAGGATATGTAATGTGGAAATAGCAACTGTCATGTCATCATTCTGATATTTTGCAATACAGTAAGCAATAATTAAACACAGTGGCACTGAAGGTGATACTGATGCTTCACGCCTCGAAGGATGGAGGCCAGGAACCAGCCTCTGCTGTTTGCGTGTGGAATTTGCATATTCTCCCTGTGTTGTATAGGTCTCCTTTGGGTGTTCCAGGTTCCTCCCACAGTCCTGACATGTGGTAAGGCTAATTGGCATTTCTAAATTGCCTGCAGTGTGTGATTGTGTGTACGTGCCCGGAGACGGAATGGCATCCGGTCATGCGTTAAACCGATAGGATAAAATGTGAAAATCCATGGAAGCGAGCTTCTCATCTGGTCCCCCGTGACAGAGGCTGGATTTGTTGGGTCAAATTTTCAAAGGCACGATTCAGAGTGCCGTTCCTGGTCACCTGGGTCC